CGTGGTTTTTAAAGGGACAGAATAAAGTTTTATTTTTACATTAAACTGGTTTGTCCCAGTGGTTGCACAATAAGGGGTAGAGGGGAAAATAAGGGCATCCAGAGATGGTATTTTTCAGCACAAGCTTTATAAATAACAGAAGAACACATTTTCCCCACATTTTACTCAGTCCAGCATAGTCCAAGCTTTGGGGCTGTTGCTCTTAACAATCAGTGGAGGCTTCACCTTCAGGCTTTGCCACTTAGCACATTCTCCATGGCTCTGGTTACTTGATCAGCACTGAAGTTATTCAAAGAGACATTCTTCTCTTGGCCAAATGCTGAGGAGACAGAGAAGTAATTAAATATCCAATATGCACTGAGGGGGTACTAAGATATTAATAAATGGTCTTTGTCTTTAACTTACAGTTTTGTGAGAATAGGAAAAGTAATGAGATATCACCAAGATGTATTTGGGATGCCTAGAATTTATCCATTGGGTGTCAAACACCTCTAGGAAGCACAGGTCTGACTAGAATTTTGGCTGATTCTGGGTGGCCACAATGGGAAGGAAGGTGTTTCGGGGCAGTTTTTAGGGGCCTGGTAGGTATTTACTATTGAGCACAGTTTGCATGGGCCTAGCCTTGGCTAGGTGCCAAGTCTATGGCTCCCATAGTCCTAGTATAATACACTCATCTGTATCCATCTCCTCTAGTCTATTGACTTTTTACTCCCCATTTAAAAAAAATATTTATTTTGAGGGAGAGAGAGACATAGTGCGAGCAGCAGAGGGGCAGAGATAGAGGGAGACATAGAATCTGAAGCAGGCTCTAGGCTGTGAGCTGTCAGCACAGAGCCCAAGTGGGGCTCAAACTCACCAACTGTGAGATCATGACCTGAGCCAAAGTCAGATGCTTAACCAACTGAACCACCAAGGCGCTCCCTCCCCAGTTTTTAATACATACTGCAGTTACCCACTGTTAGAACCAGTCTACCTTAAGTGTGATTTTATTTTCTCCTGTCATTCCTAGGCAAAGGTGTAGTTAAAAACTGTGACCACAATACCATTATTCAGTAAGTCTTATAGGTACTGTGTGCCTGCTATGTGTCAAGCAATTTAATTTTCAGATTATGGAAAACTTAAATTGGGAATATGAGCAAAAGGTGCTAAGGGCATTGTTACATAACTTGCCAGGGAATTCCTTATTGAGGAGGGGATACACATATTCAGACCTGAATAACAACAACCTGAATTGCAACTACCTAGCCATGAAAATCTGGTAGAAGTGCATCCTAAAAAGGGGGAACATGTGTAAAAGGCTCAACTCTGTTGTATCCTAGCTGCATAACCTTAGTTATGTTCCATAAAAAAATTTTTTTGGTAAGCTCCACACCCAATGTTGGGCCTGAACTCAACCCCCACATCGAGTCACATGCTCTTTTGACTGAACCAGCCAGGTGACCCTGCTGCATCAAAATTTTTATTCATCCTTCTCATCTCTACAATGAGAAAAAAACCAAACACCCCCTCACATGATTAATGAAGATTAAATGAGATTTAGGCAAGAAAGCACTCAACACACCTTAGCATTAATTACTCAACAGAATCATCTTAAGTTTTTGTTACTGAGATTCTCACACTACCAAGCGTAGCACTGCCCGCACCTAATGTGTAAGGACCCACATCGATGGTAATTGACTAGCATCTCTTCTTCCCCATCTGAACCCCGTTCTGAATTACGAAAACAGCTCTTGGAATTTACGCAGTACCGGGCCCGTCTCCACACCTATGCTACTAGAGACAGGAAACTTCCTGTAACCGTGCAAATGTGAATTTATCTGAAACAACCGCAAAAGCAAGGACGAAGTCCGAGTTCCAGTCTCCCTACAGATTTCTGCTTGACCCCTGGATGACTCTGTCTCTTCAAACCATTGCTCTACCGAGCTCCTAGACCGCCCGCTTCCCCCGCTCACCGTAACGGGCCCAGAGCTTGGGCTGCACATCGGAACACTCGCGGATTAGGATTGGCAGGTCAGGGTTCGCCTTCTTCAGCTCCACATAGTGTTTCTCGATAAATTCCCTGGGGGGGGGGGGGGGGGGGGGGGGGGGGGGGGAGAGAGAGCTGTGCGTGCTATCTACGCGCCGGCCTCCCCAGACACCCGGGAGACAGAGGTCATGACCTGGGAACCCCGAAGCTTACCGGCCCCACTACCTTGCGCCTCACCTGACGCCCTGACTGCCAGGCGAGCGCTGGCACAAGTGGACGCGAATTTCACGCAGGCCCAGTTTTGCCCGAATTCCGCGACTGGCTACAGCCGCCGCCATCTCCGCTAGCGCTTAACTCCCCGCCCCAGGACTTCCGGTCATGTTCTCTAATCCGACCAATCGCGGACCCTCCAGTTCCCGCGATATTTAGATGACGCAGGGGGGCAGGCTAAAGTTTAGCCAATGCCTTAAAAGCATTGCCAAGGAAACGTTCCGGTTTTTGTCCAATTTCTGGGCTAGCTGGCGGTGGCGGAAAGGTTGCGGAGCGCAAAGCACTGTGGGCTGTTCCTGAGGTGCATTGTGGGAAAAAGCTTGTCGCTGCTGTGTTGTCGCTGGAGCTTTAGTCATTGGTGGCGTTGAAACACCGCAGTCGAAATGCCAGAGCGAGACAGTAAGGCTCGGGTCATCTGTTCTTTATTACCTTCAGGGCTTGGGACACTTGGCGTGTTGTTTTCGCCTCAGTTCTTAAGCCCTGTGTGGAATCTGGGGGGTGGAGAGAGGGCGGGGTGTGACGCTGGAATCTGGCGAAGCCGTTGGGTCCCGAGTGAAAACGGGAATCTCCGGACTGTTGTCTCTAAGCCTTGTCCTTGCCCCAAGTGACAACGGATGGTTTATCTGTGAACTATCCCCTATCCCCAGCACTTAATCTTGAATTGCGCCAATTTATCTTTCACGCAGTATCTTAGATGTCATCTTCAGGAAGTCTTTGCTGATCCTCCAGCGCTGGTTTAGGGGCCCTCTCCTCTGCACCAACAGCTCCTTGCATTTTCTCACTTCGGCACATAATTATGATCTTTTGTCACTGTCTTTGTTCTTACCGTTCTTCCTCACTATATTGTGAGCAGTTTGACGTGAAAACATCCGTATTGTTCGCTGATACATTCCAACTTTTGCACAGGGCCTGACACGAAAGAGATTTAGTGCCTATTATTTTTCTTAGGTGAGCCTTTCTCCAACCCTTTGGCTCCAGATGGCCACGATGTGGACGATCCTCACTCCTTCCACCAGTGAGTGTTTCAGTATGGGACTATGGGAATGAACTAGGGGGCAAGTAGAGTGGTGTGGTGACAGTGAAAAGAATTCTAAGCTGCAGCAAGGATGGTCCAAAAAATTGTGCCACTTGCTTCTTTATCTCTGTGAACTTTAGCTGGATCAGGTCAATTGCATCAAAGTATTAGAGAGGAAATTCTGGCCGGGAGGGTGCTAGTTTTTAAAGTTAATGTTTAATTACATATGATACAGAAGTTGATTCTTGTAGAAAATTAAAGTAGAAATAAGGGTAAATAACATCCCCAGTCCCTTTCTTAGAGGTAACCACTGTTCCTTTTTTACTTGTCTTTTTTTCCTTTTTTTTTTTACATTTATATACATACTTGCATGTCTGAGGAAAATATATTATTACTCTATAATTTGAAGTCTTAAAATTAAATGGTACGGTGTTGTGTATATATATCATTTTGCCACTTGGTTTTCCCCACTCCATATCTTGGAGATTATTATATATTTTTTTAAGTTTATTCAGAGAGAGAGAGAGAGAGGAAGGGAGGGAGGGAGAGAGGGAGGGAGAGGGAGAGAGAACACCAGTAGGGGAGGGGCAGAGAGAGAGGGAGAGAATCCCAAGCAGTCTCTGCACTGTCAGCACAAAGCTGATGTGGGGCTTGAACTCACGAACCATAAGATCATGACCTGGGCCAAAGTCAGAAGCTTAACCAACTGAGCCACCCAGGCACCGTTTGGAGATTATTTTCATGGCAGTAACAAGGACTCCCTTCTTGACCAGATTTTCATCAGGCTTCTCTGGGGTCTGTTTTTGACTAGGACTGTTGGGCTCCTGTTTATCGAAGAATGCTGTTAAGCCAGTTTATGGAGAATCCCCTTAAGTAATGAAGTAGGTCCAGTCAGGGTCCTTTTTCTACCCTTGATGCTTAAAAGTTCCTTTTAGTAATTTTTTTTTATGTTTATTTATTTTTGAGACAGAGAGAGACAGAGCATGAACAGGGGAGGGGCAGAGAGAGAGAGAGACACAGAATCTGAAACGGGCTCCAGGCTCTGAGCTGTCAGCACAGAGCCCGACACGAGGCTTGAACTCACAGACCGTGAGATCATGACCTGAGCCGAAGTCGGACGCTTAACCGACTGAGCCACCCAGGCACCCCAGTAATTTTTTATACGTCTCCAGTTGTCCCAGTGTATATTCAGAGTTGAGTGTCAGTTCCTCTCCCTTAATGCAGTAGTCTTTATTCCTATGACAGTAGTCTTTTTTTTTTTAAGTTTTTTAATTTATTTATCAGAGAGAGAGTGCATGCCTGAGAGCAGGCGTTGGGCAGAGAGAAGGGGAGAGAGAGGCAGGTTCCATGCTGTCAACGCAGAGCCTGATGCAGGGTTCGAACCCATGAACTGCAAGATCATGACCTGAGCTGAAGCTGGTCACTTAACCGACTGAGCCACCCAACTGCCCTTACTATGACAATAGTCTTGAACAGTGTCTTCCTTGGGAACACTTAGCAGGATTCTTTGCTAAAACTGGGCACAGCAAGCCCAGAAAGAGCCCGACTGAAGTTTGGCCAAGGAGTAAGTCTTTGTCATTGTACCAATTAAAATTATCTCTTATACCATTGTTGCTATCTACCCCACATTTGAGAAACATGATTTAATTAGTCTCTAGTTAATATACATTTAGGTTGTTTCCAAGTTTTTATTATCTTCATATCCGAAACTGAACCTTTTTTTACAGGCCTTCTAATATACCTATGTCAGTAATTAGCAAAGCTAAATATAGGTAAATGGAGTTGCTAGGTCATAGGAGATACACATGTAAATTTTGATACTGCCAACTTGTCCTCATATTGGCTGTACTGACTTATATATGTTCCCTTCAGCAGAATGTTTACTTCCCACATTCTCACTCATACCTGATTTATCAGACTTTTTAATTGTTAACACTGTGATGCATTAAAAGTGGCATGTTTTTGTCTTAGTTTGTATTTTCATGGTTTCCAGTAAAATTAACCTTTTTTTACATACTCCTTTTCCAGTTTTTACTAGGTACTCATTTTTAAAATCTTTGCCTTCTAGGTCAAAACTCACCAATGAAGACTTCAGGAAACTTCTCATGACCCCGAGGGCTGCACCCACATCTGCACCACCCTCTAAATCACGTCACCATGAGTAAGTTCTGGGGTCTTCCAACCTGTCTCTTATTTCCTTCCTATGGAAAATCTACCAAATTAGATGTCTTAGGAACTGGAAGCCTAGTTATTTTTGAAGACTATGATTCTGATTGTCTCCTGCTGGAGATTGAAGCTCCAGTGGAGACTGGGGTGCTTTAGGAACTCAGAATGTTCCACATACCACTTGTACTACTAGAGTTGCTGCTGGTGCTTAAATGGACAGAGGTCCATTCCAGCCCTATGCACTCAGATACTGGGGTAGATATTGGGGAATATATGATTTTAATAGTGCTTCAGGTGGTTGTGATGTTTTCTAACGCTATCATTGAATTTCTTTGTTTTCTAGGATGCCAAGGGAGTACAATGAGGACGAAGACCCCGCTGCACGAAGGAGAAAAAAGAAAAGGTGAAGGAAGGATGGAGCAGTGTTGGGCTTTAAGTGTTGGATAGTATTTGGGGGAAAGGAGTAGGAGGTAGTAGTAGGAGCATAAAGATTAACATTTTCCTTTATTATTTTGAGGTTCTGTGCTTCACTGGAGAGGAGGGATAGGTAGAGTGGCAATTTAGGACTCTGGAGTCAGCCTGCAGTATTTTAATCTCATCTTTACCAGTTTTTAGCTGGATAGCCATGGGCATATTGCCTAACCTTTCTAATAGTATTCTCATGGGTAGAACAGAGAGTGATTTCACAACTTTTTATCAGGTTGTCATGAGGATCAGCTGCGATATAAGTGCAGCTGATATAAGTGCATATAAGCACTTAGCACTAGTGCCTGGCATATGATAACCACCCAGTAATACTTGTCTACTGTTATCACCATCATCATCATTATCATCATTATTCATTTCTATGATACTAAAATTTCTGGACCTGGTATTTTGCTGTTCCTTTCTTTCGGGGGAGGACCAGCAAGGAATGACTGACTTTCAGTTGAAATTTGGAAGGTGATAAAAATTTAGATAACTTCCTGGTTGCCCTATGGAAAAATCTCTACAGAGTAGGGTGGCATTGAAGAATTCTGAATTGACAGAATGTCCTGAGGTGGCATTGAGACACTGTGATCTGGAAGATGCTGTAGTTCTGATTTTGAGAACTATCAAGAGGTGGCCAGCAGTTCTATCAGGACATATATGAGTTTTCACCAGAGAGTTGGAGGAAACAGGCAGGAACAATTCTGCTGACCTTGGGATAACAGCTGGTGAGCTTTACGCATTGCTTTTCTCTTGTCACAGTTATTATGCCAAGCTTCGTCAACAAGAAATTGAGAGAGAGAGAGAACTAGCAGAGAAGTACCGGGACCGTGCCAAGGAACGGCGAGATGGTGTAAACAAAGATTATGAGGAAACTGAGCTAATCAGTACCACAGCTAACTACAGGGCTGTGGGCCCCACTGCTGAGGCGTGAGTACCATGGCAGCCAGGGTGTGATTCCCTAAGCATTCCAGAGTCCTGCTATCACAGTGTGAGTTCTACCTAACACTTTACCTACTTTGGAGCCTCAGCTGAGCCATTTCAAGAGGGACTTGAAGACATAAAAGACTATTCTAATGTGGTTCTCTTTCCATATATAGGGACAAATCAGCTGCAGAGAAAAGAAGACAGTTGATCCAGGAGTCCAAATTCTTGGGTGGTGACATGGAACACACCCATTTGGTGAAAGGCTTGGATTTTGCTCTGCTTCAAAAGGTGAGCCTTGGTGGGTGGGTGGAGAGTAATTGTAGAGTGCTGAATGCTCTTGTACACGCCTTTCCAGGTGAAGGAGGGAGACTTCTGTTAGTCCAGACCATGTAGAAGGGCTAATGGTGGCTCTTGTTTAGGAGTAATTACTATTCATCCTTCAAGTGATCACCTAGGTATGGTTAAGCCCCATTCCTCACCTCCTACTTCCTGTACCTTTGCATAGCTCTTCTATTTCACTTATCATAGTTACCACATTTTGTTGTCTCTTCTGCTGTAAGCTCCCTTAGGGCAAGCACTGTATTGACTTATTTAGTATTGAGTCCTTAGTTCCTGGTACAGCAAGGTGTATAGTGGTGTTAGGTAAATGTATGTAATACGAATAAATGTCTAAACTCTAGGTACGAGCTGAGATTGCGAGCAAAGAGAAAGAAGAGGAAGAACTTATGGAAAAGCCCCAGAAGGAAACCAAGTAAGTAAACATTGTGGAGAGCTTGAGAGTTTAGAAAAGTGGGACTTAAAGTAGGAACACTTTGGATTCTGTGTCTCCCTCTTTCTCTGCCCCTCCCCTGCTTTCACTCTGTCTCTCTCTCAAAAATAAATATTAAAAAAAAAAAAGATAAAAAAGTAGGAACACATTTAGCAAAAAAACTTATTTTTATCTTTCTAGGAAAGATGAGGATCCTGAGAACAAAATTGAATTTAAGACACGTTTGGGTGAGTACAGAATTTCTACGCTAAAGGTTGTACATTTTAGGTGAATTGTAGGGACTTAATGCTCTGAGCAGGATATGCTTCTCCTTTCCCTCAACCTGCTTTCCTCTATCTTGCCCCCAGAGTAGCTAGTTCTTATAAAATGCTCTACTAGAAATTGGATGTGGACTTAGTCATTTCATGTGTATAAGTTATTAATGTCTCCTCAGTTACGTTGGAAGCTGTTTCAGATTGTGGTTTATGCATTAAGGGAAGTAGCTCGTAGCTTATGTGTTAAAGGAGGTAGCATGTTTGGTGATCAAAAGCTCAGAATTTGCAGTCTGAGACCTGGGTTTGAATCCTGGTAATGAACCTGCACTAGGCATGTGATATTAGGCACCTGACTTCACTTCACATTACCTGTTTGTCTGCAAAAATGGGGCTAATTCACCTCATGGGATTATTGGGGCAAAGAAAAGTAGTTTATGCACCATACCTATCATGTTAAGCATCTTTCTTCCTCACAGGGCCTAATACAATGTGAGGCACATAGTGCTCTTGAGAAGACTTTGTAAAAGACTGGATAGGAGCTCAGGCTTTGGAGATAGACTGCCTGGGTCTCCTTCTTTATTCTGTTGCTTGGTAGCTGTATGATTCTAGGTAAATCATTTCACTCTCAACTTTTGTATCTTTATCAGTTAAAAGGAGATAGTAAGGCACATCTTATAGGGCTATTGTGAAGTTTGAGTGGGGGCTGGCACAGAGTTAAGCACTTGATAAATGGCAGCTGTTAATTGTAGAAGGTTCTCAATGGCTATGCTTGCTGCTCGTCCTGTTTTTGTAGGCCGCAATGTTTACCGCACACTGTTTAGGAGCAAGGCATATGAACGCAATGAGCTGTTCCTGCCAGGCCGCATGGCCTATGTGGTAGACCTGGATGACGAGTATGCAGACACAGATATCCCTACCACGCTTATCCGCAGCAAAGCAGATTGCCCCACTATGGAGGTAAGTGACTTGAGAGCCTCTTACTTGAGCCTTAAACCTGGGAACCAGCCTTGATTCTGCCCTGGGTCTCATCCACCACATTTAACCCATCACTGAGTCCTGTCCACTTTTCACTTTCCACAGATTCACTTGAATCTAAATTTCAATTTAGATTCACTGGAGTGATTTTTACAAATGGCTGGTGTGATCTTTTTCGACATGTACATTTTTGCCTCACCACTATTGAGAAGCTTTCAGTGATTTCTCATCGAGAAATTGCCCTTGCACCTTTTGGCCTTCTGAGCCACTTTTCACCATGATTCCCTGTTGTTGTTCTCCAGGGAATCCCAGCTCTCTTGAACGTGCTAGATTCACTTTTGACACAGATCTCTTTGTATATGCTATTCTGTTTGCCTGGAATCTCCTGTAACACCTTTCTCTGTTTTCACCTAGTTGGTTATAATTTGTCCTTTAGTTTGTTAAGTGAATGAAGTGAAGAGATTCTTGCTCTGTGGGATAATATCCTTGCTACTTGGGGTTTTCAGGCCCAGACAACACTGACTACAAATGACATCGTAATCAGCAAGCTCACCCAGATCCTTTCCTACCTGCGGCAGGGTACCCGCAATAAGAAGCTCAAGAAGAAGGATAAAGGTAACCTGGAGAGTTAGGGAGAGAAACCTTAACTCTGGAGGGGCATTTGAGGGTGGAACCATGGTCTGCTGGAGCCTTCTGTGTCTAGAACATTGGGGGGCTCCTGGAGAGCAGCAAAAAATGAGAGCAGTTAGAGCATTAACTTGGCTCACCCAGAAAGCAGTGGTCAGCTTTGAGACTTGATGGGGGAGAGTATTGGGAGATTTTATTATCCCACCTTCTAAACAGATGGGCATTCAGAGCTGTTTAGGCTAAGTGGGAATCAACTCAGGAATATTTTGTTCACTACTCTGTTTATATCTTTAGGGAAGATGGAAGAGAAGAAGCCCCCTGAAGCTGACATGAAGTATGTATTGTAGCACTGTCACCTGATGTGAGGGAGGAAGGAGCTCTTTGTTTCTTGTTTTTGGCATTTTGGGGAGGCCTTGGTGTGAGAATCTGGAGAAATGGCCAGGGAGAGTGGAAGTGGTGTGACTTTGGCAGCTAGGGATCTCTGTTTTTCTAGTATATTTGAAGACATTGGGGATTATGTGCCATCCACAACCAAGACTCCTCGGGACAAGGAGCGGGAGAGATACCGGGAACGAGAGCGTGATCGGGAGAGAGACAGAGACCGTGACAGAGAACGGGAGCGAGAACGAGATCGGGAGCGGGAGCGGGACAGAGAGAGAGAGGAAGAGAAGAAGAGGCACAGCTACTTTGAGAAGCCGAAAGTGGATGATGAGGTGAGATAGGACCCTGGTACCGAGTGGTAGAACTGCCCATCTCTGTGCCTGCCCAGCCAGGTAGGGTAGGGAGTTGATTCAGGGATTAGTCAAGTGGGGAGGAATGAGTGTAAATCCCTCATGGTGATACTCACTTCAGTTTCTCTTTTCTTTCCAGCCCATGGACGTTGACAAAGGTGGGTTGTATCTGAGACATCTTGAATTAGCTCTGGTGGTCTTGTTTTGCCCTGGGCTGAGAGTCTATCCTAGAGTTCAGAGCTGGCAACGGTTGGGATTGTGGGACTTCTGGTCTGGGTTCTCATTAAGATCCACATCTTGCTTCATGGAAAAGAAAGAAGAGGAGTCTGGAGTTGCCTCCCTCTTCCTGGGCAATGGCAGGCATATTTGCTCTGTTAGATACAATTCCTCCAGCTTTGCGGTTCTGAAAGACGTGAGGCAGGTCTCACCGGCTGTATTCTTTGTACACAACCCCATTTCACCCAGAGTAGCTCATTATTAGTTGAAATTTGATTAAAATTATGTTAACTAAAAGAGAGTTTTTTCTGTTACTTAAAAAATGGTTTTTTGAAAACAGGTTAGAAGTGTGTGTGGAAAAGAGGTTGAAAGTTCCTTGTTTGACATTCTGAATAGAGTTCCCTTTCCCCCCCAGGACCTGGATCTGCTAAGGAGTTGATCAAATCGATCAATGAAAAGTTTGCTGGATCTGCTGGCTGGGAAGGCACTGAATCATATCCTTTATTTCACTATGTTGTTGGATTCTAGAAAACTGTTGTCCTGTTTCTTTCCAATTCCACCTACCTCCCTGTTTCCCCACAACCCCTGGCTCCCATCCTGCCTCTTACCTCTTATGGTGAATTTTGATAGAATTTTGCAGTCGTTGTGACTTCCCCTTTTTTCCCCACATTTGTTCTTTTTTTTTAAGGTATTATTTTTTTTTTTAAGTTTATTTCAGTAATCTACACCCAGTGTGGGGCTTGAGCTTAACGACCCTGAGATCAAGAGTCACATTCTCTTCTGACTGAGCCAGCCAGGTGCCCCATGCCTTTCCCATTTCTCAGAGGATTCACGCAAGCTCACAGCCTTCTCCTCACAAGTTTTCATGTTGGGGCTTCTAGGCCTTGGCCCTTCCTTCTTGAAGCTTTTCTGCTATAGGTAGAATTATTTTCTTTGACATAGCGTATGCTGAAGAAGCCAGAGGACAAGAAGCAGCTGGGAGACTTCTTTGGCATGTCCAACAGTTATGCTGAGTGTTATCCAGCCACGTATGTGAGACTGTTAAAGAAGGGAGGCTGGGATAATTGGACAATAAGTTGTGGGGAGGGGGATGAGGTGGAAATTTCATTAACTTGGACCCACGGGTACTTATTTGGATGAACTGTTCTTTGAGGCTCTGGGTGGGAGGTCTGGGGGTGGTGGTTGTCATTTCTAGGCATATGGCATCTTAGTTGGGTGGGTTTCTGGATAAAGCATAGGAGTATGGGTCTGCACCATCTCTTTAACTGTTGCTTCTCTCCAGAATGGACGACATGGCCGTGGATAGTGATGAGGAGGTGGATTACAGCAAAATGGACCAGGTGTGGAGTTGGAAGGATGGGTGGGGATTTGGGGGTAGTTACTCTTAAGCAGTATCCCCCCTCCCCCCTCCCAAAAGATCTGTCTCGTTTTCTGGGCCTTAACTTTTCCTCCACTGCAGCACTAAGAACAGCAGCATTGTGAGGTCATGAGAAGCTTAACCTTTAACGTATCTGTCCAGAAGCAAATGAGATATGCCCAAAATAGATTTATTTCCTACAAAATGCCAGGCTTTGATTTCTGTACTAGGCAGTAAGCAAGCCTTTAGTGCATAAAGAGAAAGGGTAGGAAGGAACTTCAGTCTTGAGAAAAATAACTGAATTTTATTCTAGCAGGATTGAAATGTTCTTCTCTGTCTTAAAAACAAAAATACCTTAACAAATAATACCATTAATGGTGGCGAAATTTCAACTAGTTTTTCCTTGTTTTTACTGCAGTGGTTGAGCATGGTGTAATTCCATCTTGGAGACTTGCTGAACCCTGGCTCTGCCAAGTTTTGTGACCTTGACAACTTATTTTACTGCTTATGCTTCAGTTTCCTCATCGAGAGAATTCGGAGGAATATGGTTGTTTTTTAATAGAGTTTGAGGAAATTAAATAAGTGTTCAGAATAATGCCTGGTACATAGTAAGCATTTATTAGGGTGGGATTTATGAATGATGAAACAAGATTGTGGGAGAACCTGGCTTTATTAAGGGCTAAAATTCTGTTTCCACTAACATTTCTAACTTCCCTGTTCTCACTGTGTCTCTAACAGGGTAATAAGAAAGGCCCCTTAGGCCGCTGGGACTTTGATACCCAGGAGGAATACAGCGAGTATATGAACAACAAGGAGGCTTTGCCCAAGTGAGTTGTACTAAATATGGCCAAAGATTGAGGAGAGGGATGATGATGGGCCAGCCTTCACCAGAACAGGTTCTCTAGTCACAGGGCCATCTGGGAACACCTTGCTACTGCTATGCAACCTCTGATGCCTTCTTTCTCCCAAATGTCCTTTATTGTTCTCAGAGCTGCATTCCAGTATGGTATCAAGATGTCTGAAGGGCGGAAGACCAGGCGCTTCAAGGAAACCAATGATAAGGCAGAACTAGATCGCCAGTGGAAGAAGATTAGTGCAGTAAGTGAGACTGCCTCTTAGGTGGACTTCATCTGAGGGAGACAATGGCCCACAGATGCAGGAATAGGCAGGGGGTTGGAGAGCAAAGGAGAGCGGTCAGACTTGTGTCTTAGGTGAGCTTAGGCTCACAGCCTAACTGTTGTGTGTTAACTGTTCTTTTTTGTAGATCATTGAGAAGAGGAAGAAGATGGAGGCTGATGGGTGAGCAGTAGCATTTTTCCTCTGGGGCACTGTAATAATTGGTTAGAGTACTGATCTTATGCCAACTCCTTTTTCCTTCCATTGCAGAGTTGAAGTGAAAAGACCAAAATACTAATCTCTGGTTCCAACTGCAAAAAGATTCACAAGGATGTGCTTGCCACTGTTTGCTTTCTATAATTCCCCAAAGAGTTGCAAGGTGTCTTTCTGTGAATGTATATAAAATGTTGTATAATCATTTAGTTCCATTAAAACTGGTCAACCTGGGGGCACCCTGGGTGGCGCAGTCTGTTAAGTGTCTGACTCTTGATTTCAGCTCAGGTCATGATCTCATGGTTTGTGGGATCAAGCCCTGTGTCTGGGCTCCGCTCTGACAGTGTGGAGGCTGCTTGGAATTCTCTCTCTCCCTCACTCTTCTGCAAACCCTTCCCCCCTGCTCTCCCTCTCTCTCTTAAAATAAATAAACTTAAAAAAAAAAACCAAAACCTTGTTAACCTGCTATGCTGTCTTCTCTGGGTTCAGCATCCTCCTTTCAGGACCCCTGAATCACCAAGAGGAATTCCACTGATTGTGTAAAATGTACATGTGGAAAGTTAGCTCAGACCTTTAAGCCGTGGTTCTAGATTGCTGGATAAGGATCCTAGCCGGGATGCCTAGTGGAGAAGGATGTAATGACCTCACTGATGGGCAAGAGGTAAACAGGAACATAAGGATGATTGGTCTTAAATAACAGAGGCATTCAGGCCCATATGTGGCCTATTCTTAGGACAGAGATTCCCTGGGAATTAGGGTCCACCCAATGGGCTACCAGTCTGATTTCAAGGTTGTGCAGGACTAAGCTCTAGGTGAAGGTACCTGAGGACAATCATGGGAATAAAAATGAATTTAACCCCCCCCCCCCCCCCCCGTGCTTTTAGTAATTCTAAACACAAATTGCTGATTCTCTGGCTGAAGGGATAATCCTAGTAAGTGCCTTGGGGGGGGGGGTCCCTATGCTAGGCCAGCAGGGTTTGGTGCCCTTCAACACCCTGAAATGTTTGTCAATGCCCCAAGTGGGTCCCTGGCCTCTGAATCATTCCATCCCCAACCTTTTCCCCCTCTCTGCTCATTGCTAGCACTTTGGTCTGGTGCTCATAGGGTCATCATTTATTTTCTGACTGGATGCCTAGCTGCCACTTCTTACCCTGAGCCCAAGACCTGTCCAAGAAAGCTAGAAGGCCACCTTAACCTTTTTGCCTTGCTTTTGGTCACTTTTAGCTTGATAGGGCAAGATCATTTGAGGAAGCCAGCTTTGTGCATGGCACCTAGAAGGATGAAATTGGGCCTTGTCTGCAACAGCACCTAGAATGCCTAATATCAGACAGTAAAGGACATCCTGGTCTCATGGTTGAAGCAGTGGTCTCAGTTAAGGGTCACAGAAACCTGGCTCAGATAAAGGTATCTAGAGGGTCATTAAATTTAACACCTGGCGTTTGGGGGTGTGTAGCTGGCTCAGTCCATAGAGCATGCGACTCTTGATGTCAGGGTCATGAGTTCAAGTGCCATGTTGGGCATAGGGCTTAATTTAAAAAAAAAGACCTGGGAGTTGACTCAGTTTAAAATTCATTTCTGGGGGTGCCTGGGTGGTTCAGTCGGTCGAGCATCTGACTTCAGCTCAGGTCATGATCTCACAGTTCGTGAGTTTGAGCACCACGACAGGATCATTGCTGTCACCATGGAGCCTGCGCATCCCTCATTTGCATTATCTCAAAAATAAAAAACGTTAAAAAGAAAATAGTTTCTGGCTCTTTCCATGGCAGCAGAGCTCTTGCAATCAGAGTCAATGTTCCTAAAACCCGCCAGACTTTCTGCAAGAAGTATGGCAAGCACCAACCCCACAGAGTGTACACAGTACAAGAAAGGCAAAGATTCTCTGTTAAGCCCAGGGAAAGCAGCGTTGTAACAGGAAGCAGAGTGGTTATGGTGGGCACACTAAACTGATTTTCTAGCAAAAGCATAAGATTACAAAGACGATTGTGCCGAGGGTTGAATGTATTGAGCCCAATAGCAGATCTAAGAAAATGCTGGCTATTGGGGCGCCTGGGTGGCTCGGTCGGTTGGGGTTCGACTTCGGCTCAGGTCATGATCTCATGGACCGTGAGTTCGAGCCCTGCGTCGGGCTCTGTGCTGACAGCTCGGAGCCTGGAGCCTGTTTCAGATTCTCTGTCTCCCTCTCTCTCTGCCCCTCCCCTGTTCATGCTCTGCCTCTCTCTGTCTCAAAAATAAATAAATGTTAAAAAAGAAAAAATTAAAAA